TACTACCGGAAGCACAGGACTCACGCTTGGATCAGGGAAAGTCACAAGGTTACCAAGAAGCTAGTAATTGATACCGTTTTATTCAAATATGTCGTTACCATCGTTTCGGTAATGACTAAGAGGATGATTGTTATTCCAACCCTAGTGGTCATATCGAATTGAGTCCGACTACGATAAGTATGTTACGTGGTTCAGAGAACCAAGTTTGATGTAGCATCTGACTTAAGTCGGAAGATTGAAATAAAAGATAATCAAAGTGATCGGTAGAGGTATCGTGATAGTTGCTTGTAGCTAGAAATGCTACCTTTTAAGATGTGATTAGAACATGAAGAAATGTATAGTCTGTTCTAGGAGACTCTAAGAGACATGAGTCTAAGCGTGGGAACATACGATGATAAGTCATTAGAATATGACACATCGGTCCATTTTAGTAATAAAATAACTTATCTTAAGTTTGTTAAGAAGAAGAAGCAGTCTCTAGTAAGGATCGAGATTGTGACTTGAAGGTCATAATTTGGAGTCTAATGTGAGATAGGGAGCAAGTGCAAGATCGAGCACCGCCTGCAATCAGGAAGTCATAGAGTTGGATATTCGTTCGAAGAAACATCAAAGTTACGGTTATTACTTAGGAAGAAGAGATAACGTATGGAGTCATCATGTGAGCCTTGTTTCGTTGATGATTCTGGGACGTAATCATCCTAAGGGGGAGATAATTGTAACGCCCGTAAATCCAGGCTAGTCAATTTAGAGACGATAAGTGTCAAAAATGACTTTTTAGAAGATTATTTAGAATGAATAATCTTAACCAAGTCATAGTATATGTTACAAGGGCTCCGTACATATACAGAATGCCGAAATCCGAGTTATAACGAAGAAGTTATGGCCCGTCGAAGTTTTACGGCAAAACCGGCACGGCACCGAGAGACGTAAATAGTGAATTTTTGATAAAGGACTTTTTAGCCTTAGAAATCTAAACAAAAGTTGTAGTACACGTTAAACTGAGAACATACAAAAAAAACGCCCAAATCTGACTTCGTATGAGGAAGTTACGAATTTTCTAAGATTTGGCATAGTAGTGCACGACCCGAAACTCGAATTTTAGATCGAGCGGTTTTTGGCCTACGCGACCTAAATGAGAATTGAAGATCTCATTAATAGGAACTCAACGGTAAAAAGACAGACGAAAACAGAGTCCGTATGTAGAATTTATGAATTTTACGCGGATATTTAACAATATAATCTCCTCGTACTGTTAAATTTAAGATCGGTCGAGAATTAGCCGACGGAGTCAAAATGAAAGTTGTAGATCTTATTTTTACCTACGCGTGGATATAAAGAACGTCAAAAACGGAGGTCGTATGTGAAAGTTACGGATTTTAGAAGTCGGAAGTGTGCTGTGCGAAAATGGGTGATGTGGCACAATCTTGGCCATTGCTTTCTCCCCAAGTCTTGCCACTAGATGGTGACATGTGGCACCAAGTTCAGCCATTTTTCACCCTATAAATAGAACCTCTCCCACCCTCATTTTCTTCACATCTTTCCCATTCTTTCTTCTCTTTACTCTCTCTCTCTAGAACCTCTCTCTAGCCCCGAACCCCCCGAAAAGCCTAAGGAACCTCCCTAGCACGAGGCGGAAGCCCCGGAGTGCTCGACGGCTCCGAGAAGAAGAGCTTTTCGGCTCGGGAACGCTGCTCCAAGCAAAGCCCGGATTTCTATAAAACCCGCTGTAAGTGAGCTACGCCTACGCTATTTTTAATATAGCTTTTATTTAATTATAGTAACGTTATTAGGAACTTATAATAAGTACTTGGGCTATTATTATGGGTTATATAAGTATTTTTTAATGCTTATATAATAGTAATAATAGCTAGACTATTAATTAGTCTCGGCGAATAATAGACTAAACTCTAGTGGTAATAATACTAGGTTTCGTCGAAGGAAATTATTTTTTTAAGAAGCGAAGCGCTGTCTGAGTTCGGAATCACCACCTTTTCAAGTGAGTGCATAGTTACTTTCATCTTATACATAGATATGAAGTATTTTATATAAATTACATGGTATGTGTGCATATTATTTGAATACTTGCTTTCTATACTGGATGAACGATTTTATACATGTTTTAAATAATTTAAAATGTATATGTATTTTATATCTACGAATATGTTGGGTAAAACATGGGTAGATGAATGATGAGAGATGAAAGATGATATGAGTGAAGATTGGCAGCTATAGACTTAGTTCCTAACAAATAACATCGACAACTATGGACTTAGTGCCTATAGAATAAACATTGGTAGCTATGAACTTAGTACCTGTTAAATAAACGTTGGTAGGTATGAATTTAGTACCTATTAGATAAACACTGGTAGCTATGGATTTAGTACCCGATGGATGAACTTTAGCAGCTATGGAATTAGTGCTTTAAGCACAAGCATTGGCAGCTATGGACTTAGTGCCTGTTATACAAACCCTGGAAGTAATGGACTTCGAAATGAACGGATGCAGGATAGATGATTCTTAGGGTAGATCGATAAGAGTAAAGAAGATAACGGGGATGGGTAATTGGGTTGATTGTTTGATGTTTAAACATAATAATTATATTATTGTGGGTTGAAAACCCTATGTACTCACCAGGTTTCCCAACCTGACCCACTCAAGCTTATTTGTATCACAGGTGTCGATACGAAGCTACTTTACACTGAGAGATTTAAAAGAGATGTAGATCACTAGTGTAAATGAATGTAAGTTCTGTTTATGCTTATGTTTCTGTATTGATGATGACATCCCAAGGTTTTAAAAGGAATAAAAATACATTTATTCGGAAATGCTTTGATAACACATTTATCATGTTTTACTGGGAACAAATTCCGCAACATTTTTATCAAAAGAAGTACTCTGATTTTTATAAAGCATAAACAAAATCGGTCTTTTCTGGCCGTGAAAAATGGGGATGTCACAGTAGAAGATGATTGGTGGTCAAGATCAATCAGTGGTTTGGAGGAATAGGATTGAAGAAATAAAAAGTTTGATATGTAGGGAAGAAGGTTTGAAAAATCAACTCGCGTATTAGCAAATTCAATCTATAAATCAACATCATCATGGTCATCGTGAGGAGGATCATGCGAGATCAGATTGGTAACAGGAACTTCTCATGCAGCTTGATCGTCTTTTAGAGGAGGCTCATCCTAAATAGGCGTTGATTTGGGCACATCTCCTTTTGTAATCTCCTTAGCTTCATTTGTCGACGGATCATCCACTTAACTGGGAACATCATCGATTTGCGGCTGGACTGATCCAGGTAGGAGAGCATCAATTTTATAATCAGTGGGGCACATCATTTTGAGCTTGATGCGAAGTGCTCGATATCTCATTCCGAGGAGCATAAACTCGATTTGATCTCTTGTCAGATATGGAAGCCAGAGTTGAGCCTTATCAAGTATTTCATTCTATTCATTACAAGTAACTCCTGAGAGTCGTTTATCCATGGTGGATATTGGCTCTGTTGAGACTTCTAAGGTCAGTAGGATAACACCTGACTTGGAAAGCTAATGAACTGTGTGTGAAGTCCAAAACAAAATGACGTGTACAGAATAAGAATCAGAATCATTAATCAATCACATAAAATTTGCAAGTAATATTGGTCAAAGCTTTTGTATATTATTGATTATTGTCACACCCCCAGCCGAGGTGGCGGAACACGTCGGGCTATGCGACTAAGTTCATGGATCACAGGTAAACTGAATATATAACACAAGTACAACAATAAACAAAATAGCATTTACATTCCATATTGATGTTTGACTACAAAGTTTTTACAAAATAATAATAATACGTGAATTGCCTTAACAGATAGGCATATAATACAACAACTAGTAAACTAGGTCACCTGTAATCCAATCCGTCTTGAATGTCTGTTTAGTGGTTTCCTAAGAATACATGTAGTTTTGAGAGTCAACACAAGGTTGGTGAGTGTTACAGGTTTTTTGCTAACAGCAGTAATACTTTTAATAAGTATAAAAAGTATTTTCTTTTTATGTATAACAATAGTTAAAACAGTGTTTACAATGAGTCTTTAAAAGCCCAAAATATATTTCTGTATAAGTAAATCCATACTTTAAACCGTATTGGTAATAAATCCTTGAAAGCCAAATTGTATCTTTGTATAAGTAAATCGATACTTTAAACTGTGTTCGTAATAAACCTTTGTATATCCTTGAAAACCAAACGGTTATATTACATAAGTAATTCCATACTTAAAATAGTTTTGAAAGTAACTAAGCCTATATGACTTTATGTACCCCCTACAACACTTCATTAGACGTTATAGTAAAAATTATAGACACCTATCACCCGCTTCGATTGATCGGTCAAGGGTTATAGCTAGCAACCGCAGGTAGGGATGTCAACACCGTATAGATCTATACATATGTATCTCGCTCCAAAGATTAACGGTTATAGTAGTGTGGCTATGCTAAGTGTTTAAACTTAGCTATTGAATAACGTCTCACTAAAAAGCCCTTAACTGAAAAAGTTTGCGAATAACTCTCAGCCCTAACTTAATTGGGATTACGTCACTAGGCATAATGAATATTGTTTGTATAAGATTTATAAAAGTCGAGTATGTTTGACATGTATGTAAAAGTGTAGCAAATTTAAACTATTGGGGGCTGTTTGCTAATTTAATTAACCGAAGTGGGACTAGTTTGGTAAAAATAATTTCAAAAGAGAGGCTAAAATGGTTATTTTTATTCAAAGTTTGAAGATTGGGATTTATTATGTTAAAAATAACCAAATGAGGGGCTGTTTGTGGATAAATGGAATCATCTTTTGGGGATTGGGACCTATTTTGAATAACGAACTTAACAGCAAGGTCATTTTGGTCATTTCTTAAATCAAAACTGACTTGGGGCTTTTTGCGCCCGTGTTCGTTTTATGATCGGGCAAAAATAGAGAGGCACAAACTCGAACACAAGGCATATGCGAAGGAAGGCACCGAGGCAATGAGGAATCGGAAGCAAATCAGTTGGGGAAGGTTCGATCCTCGTCTGATCGGTGAAGGGTGTACGAAATCAGGTGAGGGGTCCGATGGGGAGTCCGAGATTGTCGATCGGTGGTTGAGGAATCGCGAGAGGAGGAGATATCGACCCCCGCTGCTCATGTTTGCTTCACCGCCGGCGGGAATGAAGAGAGGGGAACGGTGGGAAGTGATAAGGGGTGTTCGATAGGCGAAAATCGCGAGGAGGGAGGCACCTTCGATTGGGGGCTGTTCGATCCTCATCTGATCGATTGTCAAGGAACGGAAACAGAAGAGGTGGAGGGTTGGATCCTCGTTTGACCAAGAACAGAAAACGAAATTAGAAACACAATGTGCTTGACTGGTTCGAGCAAAAGAAACATGAAGGTGATTTGGTTCGACGGTGGTTGTTCAGTCATACAAGGGAGGGGGCGGCTTATTTCCATCGAACCTTCTTAGGTTTCTTCCTCATCTCTGGCAGCAAGAACACGAAGGGACAACAGTGGCAGTTCCGATCCATAAAAGGTAAAATGGTTGACTTTTGGGATTGTTTGTTGTTTGATAGGGATAGATTTAAGTGGGTGTTTGGTTGGATCATTTTACAGGGAAGGAAAAGAAATACAAACGTGAGGTTATTCTTTTTGTTTGCAGGTATACCCGAGAACAAGAACAGTTCTTGTGTTGTTGACAGAAATCGGTATAGGGAAAAGGATGTTTGGGTTTGATTCTTTGGCAGGAAAGAAGGAGGTGGAATGGTGGTAGGGTGGTGACAGTGCAAGGTGGTGTTGGGGTTGTAGCAACCACCGATTGCTGCTGTGAATTTGATGGGAAGGAAGAATTCATTTGTTCTTGCTGGAAATGAAGATGCAAGCAGATACAAAGGATCGTTCAATTTTTACTGTAAGGGTTTAATTTTTGTTTGATTGTTTGAATGTTTGTGAAACAGTACTTGATGAGTAGAAGCAATACCATGTGTTTTCCTTTACCTGTGTGTGATCTGTAATACAGGTGAAAGAAAAACGTGGGAAGGAAGTAAAATAGTGGAGTGCAAGTTTTTTTTTTTTTTTTTTTTTTGTATAAAATGAAACTTGGAAGAAGGTATTATTTGGCTGTCTTTATTTATTTATTTATTTGTATTCGGTAGATTAAATATATGTATTTGTGAATGTATTGTTGAGAAATTTTATTGGTTTTATTCATAATATATATATATATATATATATATATATATATATATATATGGAAACGTGAATACAACCTTAAGGGTATATAAGCTTAGGTACCCAAACTTATCGTTTTGTATCATATATATACATTGTAATTGTGTAATATTCTTATAATTCAACTTAGTACTTGATTTACTTCCAAGATTTTATAAATTACTTGATTTACTTCCAAGATTTTATAAATTTCACATTTATCTTCCTCTTATATTATTTTATTTTCAATTATAATATATATAGCATGGTAGATGTTCGGCAAAAAGATGTGATGTAAAAGGAAGATAATAGTAAAATTTTGAAAATCTTCAAAGTAAATTAAGTTAAGGATTGAAGTTTAAGAACATTATAATAATGAATATATCAAACAAAACGATATATTATGGTAGGTTTGGGTACCTAAGCTTTTATTGGAATATTAAATAAGATTAAAATTTATTGGAATTGCTAATATTAAATAACGTCAAATCTATTTCTCTCTATCCAAAACCAAAGTATTGCAGATCATCACTCACCTTCTCTTCCTCTGTCGCTTCGTTTCCCCTAAAAGCACCACCGTCCGAAATCCATGCCGCCTTCGGCCGCCGACTCTCTAGTCTCTAGATTATCGGCTACGAATGAAAGCCTGAGCAAATCTCTAACGCCCTCACAAAACCTTGCAGATCGGGTATTTGACGATCGTTAATGGCAGTCCCCGTAGATATTGTTATCAAGCAGTCACCGCCGTCTTCGAGTCTGCGTTTTGCTTTGGAAACGTCCTTGCCTTCTTCATTCTCCTGTTAATCGGAGTTATTGCATTCTCGTTCCGTCTTTTCTCGATAAATTCACTGGACCCAAACGTCGATGGACACATATATGATAGTTTAATTCCACCATGAGTATATATACGATTTCACCCTTTAGAATTACCTATTCCGATTCTATTCTTGTTTGAATTGAAAATTTTGTTTTGTCTCAGAGTTATGACGCAACAACATGCTTTGATTGATGTAAAATCTAAAATCATCGAACAATCCAGGCTTCATTGTGGCAATTATCAACAATATGAAGGTGCGATGTAGCATTCAAGGATTCAGTTATTCTTGAAACAATCATCGGTCAGAGGTAACTAATTTTATTCCCTCTCAATTTTTGTGGTTAAGCTTTTTTTATTCAATGTCATATTAGTTGAGATAGTGTTATTAATAGTTAATAGTTAATAGTAATAATAATACCATGGACATTAATCTCTAAAGTGTCATTTTTTTCTGTTGACCTTCAACAGCAGCCATTGCTGATGCAGCTTCTCTTCCCAAAATTGCCATTTTGGATTTCAGATCTTGTAATTTTGATTCTGCAGCTTCAAGTTTCATAAGTATGTTTGGATTCCATGTTCCTTCTCTTACTCTTGCTTGTCTTTTAGAAACTTCAATAGCCTACAAAAAGAAATCATTTATTAAAAAGAAAAATGGAACACCTGTACTTCAGCCTCTTGTCTTATTCTATCATATCTTTGAGAAAGATGACGAGCATCTTCTAGTGGAGCTCCCATTCCCATTGCTCTTAATGGCTCTGCCACCTGTTCAAGATATGAAAAAACTTTCTATTTTTAGCATCGTACTTTAACTCTTTCTATTTTTATAACACTAATTTGAAATATCTACACAGTTACACTTGATTAATTACAATCAAGGTGATATTTCCTTTTTTACTTTCATTTGATTAATTACAATCACGATCAGTCCAATTGCTAGTCCAGTATACGATTTCCTTTGTTGAAATTATATTTCCTTCAAGTTTGCTGGTCGTTTTAGTTATAATTACCACTGTTCACGGCAATTGCCTTTGATTGATCACATATTATGCCATATATTGTTATATTATATCATATATTGAAGTTGAAAAAGATAGAAAACCTCCAGATTTTGATCTGATACAAGTTTACAACAATGCAACAAGTAAGATTTTTGATATTTCTTTTGACCATAAAGGTTATTAACAAGTTTGTATCTATGATTTTGGAATCATTGATTAGCAGCCACTTGAAAGGGTATTCACTGTTCTTAAGATTAAGGTTTAGCGAACGATGTTCTAACTTTGTTTCTTAAACTTTTTTTTATCAAAAAGTCACAGTTCAAACAGCATTAACTACATTTGCAAAAGTTGGAAAGAACATCCTGATATACTTGTAAAACAATTCTAAAGTAACTAACAAAAAAGTCTTGAAAATAAAATGGAAACTTTTTACTTCAATAGATTAACTGTTACATACTTACATGTTGTGATAGCATTGAAGTCTTGTTTATTAGTTTATCTGGTATATTTATCATGTATCTGTTTGAACTAAAAGACAATATGTTCAAAAAGAAAGAAATCTTATTTGCATAGTTGGAATTTGAAATCTCATATTCATAAATCTTATTTTAATATGTTGCTTCTGCAGTCCAAATCATTATCCCTTCCAGAAGTAGCTGCTGCCATTTCAGTCTTGCTTGGTTTTGCACCTCCTTCGACATTGTTCTCTGCAAGCTCAGAAAAGGCAATCTTACTAAACTTTTTTAAATTTCTTGTTTCATTGCATGATTTTTTCTGTTAAATCTGATATAATTCCTTATTGATCTTCCAGTTGAATTATTTAAGTTAAAATTATTTGAGTTTTAATGAACTTTATTATCTTCAATGGCACTAGCCTCATACTTTTATTTATTTACTTTACAAGGTACAAAAAAGATTATATATTTACATGTGAATTATATATAATTCACATGTAAATCACATGCGATTCACATTGTGAATCACATTTGATTCACATGTGAATCACATGTAATTCACATGTGATTCACACGTAAATCACATGCGATTCACATGTAAATCACATGTGAATCACATATGATTCATATGTGAATCGCATGTGATTTACATATGATGTCATATGTAAATGTGATTCATATGTGAATCGCATGTGATTCATATGTTAATCACATGAAAATCACATATGTATTTTTGTTAGTGTTTTCGCATTAATCATTTTTTAAAATTTTCTTGTAGATTTGGAAGAAATTGTGGTGAATATTGAAGAGGTGAAAAATGATAAATTGAAGAAAAATAAGGAAATATTGACACGAAGACATGAAAACGCTTTGAAATTTGTAGCATTTTTTATTTTTTATATTTTATTTTGTATCGAATAAAATACTTTTACTATTATGTTTATAGATTAATTAGTAAAAATGAGATTTGTTGTGATTTACTTACGATTATTATAGTATAAGAAATATACATGACAAAATTGCCTAAATGGTCCCTGTGGTTGGCAAAATTCTGTAGTTTTGGTTCAAAACGAAATGTTGGTGCACCACTGGTCCAATTTTAGATACCTTGTGTGGTTTTGGTCCCGATGGTTGTATTTTCTTGTGTTTTTGGTCCACATCCCACCTAAAATGACTAATATGACCCTTAAATAATTATATTTTAATTTCTTTTATTTATTTTCATATTCTTATAATAAAATAAAAAACAAAAAGAAAATAAACCCACCTCTCTCTCTCATGATCTTTATACCCATCTCTTAAAAAAAAATACAGTTTTTTTTTGAAAAAATTGCAGTTTTTAAAAAAATATTTCTTTTAATTTTTTTTCAAATATTAATGTTTTCTATAAAAAATTAAAAAATCTGCATTTTTTCTTAAAAAATAGAAAACGAAAAAAATACTATTTTTAAAAAAATATGAAAATTTGATTTATGGTGTAAATTTTTAGACATTTATATTAATATATTAAATAACACAAAACAATTAAACATTAAATGAGATTGGTAAGATGACGATCATGTCCCTAATGAATTACTTTTGATCCAACGCTCCACTTTTAGTTCTCGGGTTGTCGGAAAACTATGAGTTCTCAACCGATCTCACCCTTATATATATATATATATATATATATATATATATATATATATATATGAGGGTTCAATTGAGAAAAAAAAGGTTGAAAATGGAGGAATCATTCTCAGCCAATCATTTATTTTTGCCGCAAAAGCCTCCAACGTACCGACGGAAATGGGAAAGGAATGCACATGTGTTTTCCAACAAAACATGTTTCCTTAAACTATGCTAAGCATTACCTTAATATATACAAAAACATAGTTTTTTCGTTTTTTTTTTTTATTTTTAAGAAACTATTTTTATCGAAAAATGATTTTAAATATACCAAAATTCATGATTTTTTATTCTCTACAAATAGACATCCATATTGATACAGTTTTAAGATAAAATAATTTTTTTTTATATTTTCAGCCATCGTTATTCATAAGTGAATAAAAATGAATCAGGTTTTTACTACAGTACATTCGTTATTCACTTATGAATAAAAACTATGATTAATTTTTTTTACAATTTAAGTATCATTCATATATGAATATAGCATATACTAAACATAGTATATTCATATTTAAATATTAGACGATGCATTCACTTGTGAATATTGCATAGTATATTCACTTGTGAATGTTAGATGGTATATTCACTTATGAATATTAGATGATATTTTCATATGTGAATATTATATAGTATTACATGGTATATCACATGAGAATAGTACATAGTATATTCACTTGTGAATATTCGATCGTATATTCACTTATGAATAATAGTTGGTATATTCATATGTGAATATTGCACAATATATTCATATATGAATATTACAAGGTGTTTTCAGAAATATATATAATTTTTATATGTTATTCACATATGAATAACATACAGACTTGCATATTTGTTTTGTGTTTTAATAATCACATATTGATTCAGGTGAGAAAACATATTCATATGTGAATATAACGTGGTAATTTAGTTTATGTATTTCATCAAACAGTTGGAGTGCATACAAGTTAACTTTTTTAAAAATGTGATAAATATGATACTTTGACTATTTAAATCTTAAAAAATAGTAGATTGGTAGAGAAATATATGAAAATTTTCAAACAAAAAATGATTTGATCTTTTTCTAACCTTAATTTCGATGTTTTTTTTATGAACGATGTTGAATGAATGATACGAATTGAATTTTTTGTTGATTATCGATGATGTTGTTCTAATGATGCTGGGAGTATAATTAATCATAGATATTGAAGATATGTTCGTATTCAAGCAGAATTGAAGGTTGGATTGAAAGAGCAAAAAACGAATGAATTTCAACTGTTATCTAATTCTCTACACTTACGTATTTGTGATTGAAGGCTATTATATCATATTTACAAGTTTGCCACCGTGTCCTTCATGTTTAGAGGCTAATTAAATGAGTGGCTGAGAATGATTCCCCCATTCTCAACCTTTTTTATTTTCTCAATTGAACCCACCTCTCTCTCTCTCTCTCTCTCTCTATATATATATATATATATATATATATATATATATATATATATATATATATATATATATATATATATATAAAGTATTGGAGATTTATACATAATAAGTGTCTAAATTTGTCATATACACTATTAATTGGTATTTGGAAATTTACATGACACACACACACACACACCACACACAATATATATATATATATATATATATATATATATATATATATATATAGAATTAGGTTCTTTGGAAAATAAAAAATTAGGGCATCAAGTGAAGACCAATTAGCATTTGACACATGTAATTAATTAATTGAATTATAAATAATGGATAAAGTGTATCAAAGTAAATCGATGGTCAGAGGCGGTAAACCCTAGAACATTATACCAGACGATTGAAATGAGTTCTATGGAAAACGTATAACTAAGGCAACATATGCTGGAACCAATAATCAAATGACACGTGTCAATTTCTTTATTGACAAGTAATGTATTATGGAAGTTATTTATGTAGTTACTCTAAAGTGATGTGTTGTCATGTTTTCATTGGTTCAAATATGTGTTGCCCTAATCATTCATTTTCCATATAACATTTCCCTATATATATATATATATATATATATATATATATATATATATATATATATATATATATATATATATATAGTGTTATATAGTTAATATACATATTAAAATCCTAACATGCTTAGGAACAGTAGTTGTTCCATTCACTTTTCGCCATTTGCTGCTTCTCTGGTCCATTCGCGTATCGCCCACCACCATTCACTTCCAATAAGATATCACCTTTCTTCCCCCATCACAGTCTCTCTCCCAGATTATCTAGATTAACATCACCGTCTTTGTTCTTCACAGTTGAGACCCAAAATCCTCTCACAACTACATCCCTATACGCCGCTGCTCACCTCCGCCGTATACAAACATGAGTGCAATCGATCGTCTCCACCGATTCACCCCGCTGCTCACCTCCGCCATTTGCAAACTGAGTGAAGCCTCCATCTTCGATTGGAGGTCGTCGTCTTACCCTTATGTCGATTGGGCCTCTTCCTTTCATTTTAGGCTTTAGGAAGAGGGCAGCCCTCGATGGCGGTGGTGCGAACCATCATAGACAATTATAACACGATTTTTGCAAGTATGTTTTATCGGCCCGCTTTTGATACTGAAGAAAGAAAGGAGCTTTGTCGTTGATTTTGTTACTATTTGGGAATTTCTTCTTCAACTGATATCAGACACGGTTTTTTGCAGG